CCCTGAGATCATGACCTGAGCAGAAGGCAGACGCTTAACCATCTGAGCCACCCAGGCGCCCCGAGATTGAGCGTCTTTTTATATGTTGATGGGCCATTCATGTTTTCTCTTCTGGAAAATGCCTGTTCATGTCTTTTGCCATTTTTAAAAATTATGTTTCTTTTTCTGACATTTGAATTCTTTGTAACATCAGAATTCTGATCATTTATAAGATAAATGTGTTGCAAAAGTTCTCTCAACTTATGATTTAGTTTCTCATTCTCCTTACTGTGTCTTTTGAAAAGTAGTCATTCTTAATTTTTCTGCAGTCAGATTTATCAGATATTTTCTTTTATGGTTTGTTCTTTGGATCTTAAGAAATTCTCCTCCAGGGTGGGGGGATGGGGTAACTGGATGATAGGCATTAAGGAGGGCATGTGATGTAATGAGCACTGCGTGTTATGTACTGCTGATGAATCACTGAACTCTACCTCTGAAACTAACAGTACACTATATGTTAATTGAATTTAAATAATATAAAATAAATTTTTAAAAAATAAAAAAAAAGAAATTCTGCTCCATTGTGTGTCAACTGTACTTCAATAAGAAAAATGAATGAATGAATGAATCAATCAATCAATCAATAAGTAAAGTTCTGCTCTATCTTATGGTCATAAAGATATTCTCCATTATCTCTCTATTTATCTATGCATATGTATACACATACACATTTAAATGTTTAATCCACTGGAAATTGATGATATGTGTGTGCATTATGCGATTTCCTTTATTTTTCCCCAAATGCATAACCAGTCATTCCCATTTCACATCTTCCCCCACTGCTCTGCAATGCCCTCTCTCATAAATCAAAAGTCCACATGTGTGCGGTCTGTTCCTGGGCTCTCTACTCTGCACTGGCAGTCTATCTGTGCACCAATGTCACGCTATTTTAATTACTATTGATATCTGATAGAATGAATCTATACACCTTGTTCTCCAGGAATGTTTTGGTTATAAGCTTTAGAACAAGTTCGTCATTCTCACAAAAAGATCTTTTTTTTGAAGTATTAAATCCACAGATGACTTTGGGGAGATTTCTAAATGTTATTGACATTTAGACATGCAACTGACACACACCGAGATTTTCTATAAAATAACCTTACTAAACTCTTTTATTAATTCTAACCATTTACCTGTAGATTCTTCTGTTCTCCACGTAGCTAATCATATTGACTACAAATGATGATAATTTTGCTTTTGTTCTTTATGACCCTTATACCTTTATTTCCTCTTCTCTGTCTTACTGTACCCACAAAAAAGCCGGTCTCATGTGAAGCGGAGTGGTGAGAGTAGGCAGCTTGGTCTCGTTCTGGGGTGCTGTCTCCTACAATTTTTTTTGTAAAATTTGATCAAGCTGTGTACTTATGATTTGTGCCTTTTTTAAAAACACTATTTTATACTTCAGTAAAAAGTAAAAAAAAAAAATTTTTTAGGACCATTTCCCCATCATCCTAACCTCTCCTTATCCTCTAATGATGCCACTGAGCTGGTTTGCACCTATTTTCAACCTGACAACATATTACTGAAGAAAAGAAGTCTTAAGTGAGAACACCCATGCCTGTTTTCACGCATTTGAAGAACTACCAGGGAAAGGGGGCACAGGCTGAGGGAGTCTCAGCAGCCCCAGAGGGCAGAATGCAGAGGAGAGATAGAAATGTGGGGAAACAGACTTCCATAAAGCAGAAGGAAAAGCTTTCTAACTGTATTGTCACCTCACCAGAATAGACTGCTTTTTGAAAAAGTGAGCTCCCAACCCTGTAAGGATTCAAGCAGGACTGGACACACACCTACTAAGGACTCTAGGGAGGGCCACCCTATCCTCTCAGTGGAGAGGGGGTGGGCAGGATGTGGGCCAGATCAGGACTTCTGTCTCTTTCAACTACCAGCTTTGAGATTTTTAAAGAATTGAGCTTATTTCTTATTCTACTTTTAGGGGATGCTCTATCAGCTCCTCATAATACTTAGAAAACTAATCATAAAATAAAGTCAACAAAAACAAAACATTGAAAACGTTAATACGATAAATCCCTCTCAAGTCCGATCAAGAAAAAGAGAGAGAGAGAGAGGAAGATAACACATTAGAATTCCTTTCTCCCAAAGAAACAGCTAGCAAATATCATAGTAAGTGTGCATCCAACAATCCTTGAAAAAAAGTGTAGTTATTTCTGTTAATTTTCATCCCGAATCTGAGGTTTCTAGCCTTATAGTCTGTCATTTAATATTCTTTTCACATAAAGGACAAAGTAGTTCAGGCACTCATTGATCTGAAATCCAATAAAAGAAAAAAAAAAACCTGTTAATGGGGTTGACTGGCTTTTTCGAAATATAAGGAATTTTGAACAAAGGAAAGTTTTAAAAAATTTTTATGAGATGGGAGGCAATTCTGTGATTTCGTAGTTTTACTTTATTTTACTTTCATTCAACCAAGCTCCTTCTTTCTAGAAAATCTTCCGTTTGTTGGTAGATAAAAATACATTCTCAGATTCTCCCAGAAGCTGCGCCATCAGCCTCATAGACTAAAAAGAAGCCTCGTTTCCTTGTGCCGCTATAGAAATGTCTCCCTTCTCCACTCCGGGCTTAACCGGATCAAAGTCTTTTTCATTCTTAGTTGATTGTTCTCAGAAAATCTGAAATCCAGACAGGCCTGAGCCAGAAGAGGGTGACCTCTTGAGGGCAGACCCTGAGGCATGGCGCTTCTCTTCCCTTCTCAGACCCAGGAGAGCTGCGCCCCCTCTCCGTACGCGGGGAGAGTACTCCCGCCGAGCCGAGAAATCCGTTACCAGGCTGCTGTGTCCCCAAGGGCCATTCCAGGGCGGAAGAGGACGGGGAAAACCGCTGTGTTGATTCCTCGGCCCTGTGGGCTGGGCGCGCAGCGGGTCAGGTTACAGACAGGTGAGTCTGGCGGATGGGCGAGCTGCGGGCGCCAGGGAACTCCAGGCGAGACGCGCCCCTGCACAGCCCCCGGAGCCCGCGCAAGTCTGACCACCCACCGCAGCGGTGCAGGCACTTCTGCGCGTCCCCGGGCGCACCCGAGCAGCGGCCGTGAGGGGGACAGCGCGCGCGCCCCAAATGCAGGCACGGCTGCTCTTTGAAACTTGGCATCTTTCTCTTACCAACTCCTCTTCCTTCTCTCCCAACTCCCCCTCCAGGTATAAAGGCAGAGAGGAAAAGCCAAAACCAAAAATAAATACAAAGCTCTCCAGCCACCTCCCCAGTAGCAGCCCAACTTCACTTAACTGGGAGACGTATTTCCCAGCCTCGGAATTTGGGGAGCGGGCGGTTATGGGGAGACCATAATGGGAGTGGGCAAGGATAAGGAATTTGTTACGAAGCCGCGTTTTTATAAAATGCGCTTGGCTTTTGTTTCCATTGTGTGTTTATTTGGGTTGATGGGGCTCTTGGGGTGGTAGGTCTTGGGGTGGAAGCTGGTTTAGCAGAGCTAGCCGACTTGTTTTTCCTAGATTGTATGGCACAAATCAATAACGACGTGTTCTAAATTTTATTATTACTGTGTTTATTTGGGGGACTGTTGTAAATGATGGGGAGCCTAAGTCCCCAAGTTCCCCCCTTTACGAGATCAGAGTCCTGGAGAGTCTCCCCGCCGCCTCCACTTTCCGCCCGCCGAGATTTCAGCCAGCCGCGGAAACCATCCACCAAGTCCGGAGGAACTGAGCCATTTTCTTGCTTGCCAGTCGGAGACAAATCCACCTGGGGGCGGGGGGGGGGTGCAACTCGCAGGAAGCTCCAACTCTTAGGATGGATGCCCTGGGAAGCGGACCTGGCGGCTTACCTCTAAGAGTTTGCCCTGAGGTGCACGTGATGGGGACTGGGGCGAGAGGTTGATTAAAAAACATTCTTCCCTTTTTAAAAAGGGGAGGGGGGGAGAATCAGACGTTAAATTCTTTTGCAAACATTCATGCCTAAGGAAGGGCTGGAACAGGCAGCCCCGGCCGCCGGAACCGGTCGGACAGGTAGCGAGCTTGTTGACACCGTTATGTTGCAGGGCGCATGCTCACTCCCAAGTTTCCTGGTGCCTTTTCTATTCCACCTTATGAAACTTTTTCCTCGGCGTGGTCTCACCCGCGATTTAAGGCATAGGTGTCGCCGAGCCTGGAGACTGGGAGTCGCCGGGCGTGCGGGGGAGAGGCCTGGGCCGCGCCGCGGCGGGGGGCGGAGGGAGAGGGCAGGCTAGGCGGGAAGGTGGGCTCTGGCCGCCGGGAGCCGGGGACCGAGTCCCTGCCGCAGCTTCTAGCGGGGAGCAGCCGGGAGGAGGGGGCCGCCGGCCGGGGAGGGGGCGCCACACCATGCCCAAAGTCTTCCTGGTGAAGAGGAGGAGCCCGGGGGTCTCCGTCCGCAGCTGGGATGAGCTCCCGGATGAGGAAAGGGCAGACACCTACATCCCAGGTGAGCGCCGCGCGGGGGCCGGGCCTGGGCGCGGGACTCCCGGGGTGGGGGCAGGGGTGGTCGGGTCCCCTCGGCTCCTCGGCGGGCGCTGGACTCCCCACCCCACGCCCCCCTCTTTCGGGGCGGTCGGGGAGGGGGGTCCTTGAGGAGCGGGAAGACCGAGAGTGAGAGGCTGGGGAACCCGGGACGCCCTGCGCCCCCTTCCCCCTAGTGGGCGCCCGTAATTGCCCGGCGGCGGGACCGTTGGCTGCCGCGCGGGCCGGGGTGAACCTGGAGGGGAGACGGAAGGCCGGTAGGGGTTACTCTCAGCCCCATGTCCTCATGGGGTTGCACCAGGATCCGTCAGCCCCTCGGGCTAGGTGGGTTGAGGTCAGACTCCTAACCCCCTATCCCAGAGAGAGGAAACTTGGCGCGCGGGGTCCGCGGCCGCCGAAGGCCCTCGGTTCCTTGTGGGCGCGGGGACTGGGACCGAGGAGCCGCCCCCCGAACCCCGTGCTCGCTCCGGAGGCCCAGCCGGGGACCCGCTCGCCCACCCCCGCGTGTTGCCCACTTGGCCAGGTGCCCAGGTCCAGGGCGGGGCGGCGGCGGCACCGCCCGCAGGTCAAACTGCCGCGGACGCCCGGGCCTGACGCCGCGTGTCTGTGTGTCGGGGCGCCGCCCCTTCCTCCGCAGTGGGCCTGGGCCGTCTGCTCCACGACCCCCCCGAGGACTGCCGCAGCGACGGCGGCAGCAGCAGCAGCGGCGGCAGCAGCAGCGCGGGGGAGCCTGGAGGCGCCGAGAGCAGCTCGTCCCCGCGCGCCCCCGAGCGCGAAATCCCCGAGCCCGGCGAAGCCGAGGGCCCGGGCGGGCACCTGGCGGCGATGCAGCGCCCGGTCGCCAGGTCGAAAATCAAGGTACGGTGTCGACTCTGCCCCCCGCCGCCACCTGCACCACGCCCTGGCGTCGGGCTCCGGGAGCCCGCGCCCCTCCCTGCCGCGCCCGCCCGCGCACCCGGGCACCCAGGCACCCGGACATCGAGCGCGCGCCCTCTGCGCCGCTCCTGCACCTGCCTCTGGGTCTCGGCCAGGGCGGCTCTGCGCGTCCTCCTGTCTGCTGGGTAACCAGCGGCCAGCGCCGCTGAGCCCTGGAGGCCGGCTCCTGAGCCGGCACGGTCCGCGGGGGTGGCCTCTGGAACTGCCTAAAAGACCCAGGCCCAGCTTCCTCCCTCCAGCAGCCCATTCTGTGCGCAGAGCCTGAAGAATCACCAGGCCGTCGGGGTTCCCGGGTTCGGAAAGGAGGGACCCAGGCTCTCAGGAATTCCATTCTCTGCGGCGCATTCCTAGCGCTATGAGAATTCCGAGTTTCACACTTCCTTGCGTTCTGGAGGCAGTGGCGACAGTTGGGCACACAGTGGACCTCTCACAATAACAGCTCTTCCCATTGACAATTATGGAGTGCCCGTTAGACCCCAGGTCTGTGCTGGGCACTTTAAATTTGTCATCTCTCTCAAATCTTGAATTAAACTGATGGATAAAGGGGTTCAACTGCAAATTGCCTCAGTGCCCCGCCCCCAGTGGGTTGGAGTGTTTGTTACCCTGCATTATCATTCTTCAACCCCCCCCCCCAAGTCTTCTAGAATTGTACGCGACATCTTATCGGGACATTCATCTGGCTTTTCTGGGTAGAACTTCCATGATCGCCTCCTCAAATGTATCCGTTACCCGCAAGATTAAGGAATCTCATTCCACTGATTGAGTCAGCTGGAGCCAGGGAGTGGTGTTTTAGGAATCACATGACCCCATTTCCTAGCCTGGTGGGACTCTGCGGGCTCCAGGCCCTGGGTGGTGGGCGAGAATTCTTGCCCGCGCCAGGGCGGTCCTGCAGCCCTGCTACCCAGGCGGGGGATGGGGGGATGGGGAGGAGGAACTCTAGTGTTTGCTGTGGATTGGGTAAGACTAGGTTACTTTTCCTGGGCGAGGCCATCCCTCCCTATGCATATTACTGGTTCCTGGGGTTTGGCTTGGGGGCTGGCTAGGGTGCATTTGGTTATGAATTGAGGCTAGAGGCTGGAGCCGAAATCCTCTGGAAAGACATCTTTAAAGGTTGCTACGGCGCAAGCTGTTTGGTGTTAAAGTTGACTGCTGAGGTTCAAAGTCAGCTGGCCTGAGGCTTTTCTGGGCCAGATGGGGTTAAGTGGGAGGGGACAGTTTGCCTGAGGCTGGTAGCTCTGCCCTCCAGGAAATTCTACAAAGTGTCCCACTTGCATATTTATCACCAGGCTGGAAGGACAATTGCAACGTTGTTTTGGGATTGACTGTAGTCAGTTTGCCCCTCTGTCCCCCAATTTCCCAGATTACCCTGGGAAGAAAGTGGCAGGGAAGAAAGATCCAGTTCCTTAACCAACATTTGAGGAGCTGTCTCTTGTCCCAGGCAAACAGCCCCATGGATCTCTGGATTAAAGAATAAATAAACCACAATCTTATTTCTATGATCTTGCCTACGTGCTGCCCCTGGGCTGGGGAATGGGGTATAGTGTTAGCTCCTCAACCTTAGCACAGCTTCCAGAGAAGTTCCATTTATTTACTGAGGATGTTTAGATTCCTTTTCCCTCTCAGCCTCCATCTGAAAATAGGAGACATTTTGGTATTAAGATACTCCAAGCCTCCAGAATTATCTTCTGTGGTATTGGCCGTTTTCAAATGATTGTCCAAATCGCCTGTGACTTAGCATATTTCCTAATTCTAGAGTTCTATGCAAAACCTGCTGCTCTCTTAATTCTTAACCAGAAGAAAAGGAATGCCAATCCAGTATGAGGCCCATATATGATGCATAATGACTGAGTTTGAATGATTTCAAGACACCCCCTGAGCAGTTGGCTCAGAGGACTAGGGGAGGGGCAGGTTTGAGCCAGTGCCCCGCAGAGAGGCAACGTCCCATCTAACATTATGGAGTGCCTGCTGTGTGCCAGGCAGCCAGGAGATAAAGATGTTCCCTGCCTGGTGTTCTAGAATCATCTGACAGTAACAGTTAAGCCTCTAGGCTCACTTTTTAGCTGCCTGATCTTGGGCAGGTTGCTAATCCCTCTGGGCCTCAGTTTCCTTGTCTGTGAAATGGGAATAATAATGATACCTCCCTTATAGAGTGGTAAACATAATAAATGAGTGAAGAGAGGAACGTGGTAGGTGCCCATTAGCTCTAGCTAGAATTATATGGGTTGGTGGAGAGACACAAATATTATTAACTCTGTTACAGCAAAGGGAATGCTAAAGCACAAGCAAAGATGTAATACATTCTGAGCCGGGGAAGGTTTCTTGGTGTGGATTTGAGGGCAGTGGAGAAGAGGGAGAGGTGGGCTTTAGGGCAGTGGCATGGGTTGAGCCCGAAGCTTGAGTAGGTAAAGGACTCAAAGTCCTAGTGCCTGAAAATGGAAAATGGACCTGGTAGGGTCAGAGAGAAGAGTGGGAGTTGAGGAGCTGGGCCAGGGCGAGATGATGAAGGGGCCGCGCCAAGAGGTGTGGATTCTCCTGCACAGGCACAGCAGGGGTTCTGGAAGGGTTTTGAGAAGGAAGACCTCAGTTGGGTCCATCTTACCAGCTGTATTAGGGATACATTATCTGTCCTGAGTCTTCGTTTCCCTGACCTGTAAGATGGAAAAGCAATAGAATCGGCCTCTCAGAAGGGTTGGTTCGATGCAATGAGGGGTGCAGAGTGTCTAGCACTTTTGTGCATGTGTAAACTGCCAGTAGGGAGTTAGCTAAAAGTTATGTATGGCAGGTTTCCTTAAGGTCCACTACTCTGTTGCCTACAGTGGGGACAAGGGATTTGCCAATCCGGCTGTGCTGGTGAGTGGCTCTAGAAAGGAGTTGTAGGTGCTGGTTAGGAAACTGGCCTTTTCCAGCCTATCTGCCTATGACTGTGTGCCTCAGGGCAGTTTGCAAAATTGTCTCTTTACTACTGAGGATTCAGTAATTTTCCAAACAGATTGAGGTGGAGAGATCATGTGTATCTAAGAAGGCGGTAGTGACAGATTCAGGTGGCTTTAAGTCTCTTTTGTGCTGGTCCCATTCACAGGACTCCAGCTGCGGGGCAGAGACCCCCAGAAACCCTGATCACCATTGCCCTTCCTTTGAAGGCTTATCGGAAACTAAGTAACTCTGAAGTTAAATCAGTTACTTGGCGGACATTTTTCCTTCCTGGCTCAGTGGCTGGTGGGACCCAGGTGCAAGTGTAGAGTAGCAGGTGAATCTGTCTTCTCCCCCTTTTTCCTTCTGTTCTCGTCCTTTGGCCTCTCCCAAGGATACTTCAAAAGGAATTGAGTGTAGGATTCCTTCTGAAGTATTTTTGGTCTTTTACCTGGCTCTGTAGTCCAAGTCTTCGAGTCCTGCCAGACGTAGGAACATGTGGTAGTCTTTTTCCTTTCTTCCCATCATTTGTCACCCACCCCAACAACCAGTAATCCATGGTTATTCCTGCCCATCCAACCCCTACCCATCCCCAACACATGATTTTGAAGCAAATCTCATTTATCATATTACTTCAACCATAAATACCTCAGAATGTGCCTGTAGTAAAGGCCAAAATACATGATCACACCTACATTAAGAGCGGTGTTCGCATTGCTAATTGTCTCATAAATACATATTTTTTTCAGTTTGCTGAATCAGGTCCACACAATGTCTACACATTGTAATTGATTGACATATCTTTCAGTTCTTTCATAATTTGTCCATGTTCCCTCCATCTCTTTTCCATGTCCTTACAAGTTAATTATTGAAGAGATCAGTAATTTGCTTGGAGAGTTGCTAACAATCTGGATTTTGAGGAATGCATCAGCATGGAGTCTAACGCTCCTTGGTCTTCTGTGTTTTCTCTAAACGGGTAGTTGGGTCTGTAGCTGCACTGCCCACTCTGGTAGCCAAAGTCACATGTGACTATTTAAATTTAAACTAAGTAAAATTAAAAATTAAGTTCCTCGGTTGCACGAGCCACATTTCGGGTGCTCAGTAACCACATGAGACCCGTGGTTACTGTATTGGACAGTGCAGATTAGAACATTTCTGTCATTGCAGAAAGTTCTATTGGACAACACTGCTTTAGATGCTTGCTCAGGTGTATTTATTTTGGCTAAAAAATATGTTGGGGGAGGGTCATCTATTAACATCAGGAAGCGCACAATATTTGTGATATGAGCCGCTGTTGATACTCAGGGTCTAAATATTTTAGGTTATTAGGGGTTGTGATATTCTGTCCTTCATTTCTTAGCCGATACTCTTGTATAGAGATATATTTCCCCTCACCTGCTGTTTGGTTCCCAGTGAGGCAGTTCATTTAGGAAAGGCCAAATAAGATTCCCTTTATTTACCAGTTTTCAAGCTAATCTGTTGGTTCACCAGAATTCTACAGCGATGGCCAACTTGTTTATTTTTAAAATATTGTTGTGAATCATGATTTAAGTGGTTTTTAAAAACCCATCCATTTGATATTTGGAAGAGAACATAAGCTCTGTCCCTAACTCCTTGCCTATTGTCTTTTATCTCCTGAGGCAGAATTGGCTGCCCCTCACCCCCGCCCCCATTGTAACTCACTGACCATGTGCCTGACATTTGGCTGACCAGACTCCTCCTCTTCTTGACTCTAGATCCACCGACGGCAGGGAACGTTCCTACTGGGCTTGTATCCCCAGCATCTGGTACAGTAATGCCTGACTCATAGGAGGACATAGGTCAACATAGAACAGAAATACAGGTGTGGGGGGGAGGGGTCAGCCGTCCCTGGATGTAAATGACAGCATTTGGAAGGAAACAGGAAGCAAGAAGGAAACATAGATCTCGGAAAATACCTGGAATAGATGCTCAAAAAAGGCTAAATTAATTAAGAGGGGAAAAAGAGGAGAACCATATAAGTGTTAATTGCA